TATACTGAAGATGACCATGTGATATCTTCATGTACTAAATGTTGCTTTAATACCAGTGCAAGGAGTAATAATCTGTTCTATCACACTGCAAGCAGCTTTTAGTTATTCAGCTAATAATTTGCCCCAGTTCTACAATACCAGTGATCTAGACCTGATCATGCGTCTGCTGCAGCTGGCACTGGAATTCATTGTGTCACATGTGTCCGATGCGCATAACTGGGGTAGGGGAGCCACCTTAGACACACACGGTCACTTTGGCCTGAGAAAGCAGAGTGACAGTGTCTCTTTAACCACCTGCCATCCGGCCGTTGTAATTATACGGCCGTACGGGGGCTTCTTGAATGCGCGTGAGCGCTCTTAAACGTCCTTTCCCGCCCTGCTTGTGCCCGCCGCTAGGCAGCACGCACGAGAGGGAAATCTGTTTGAAATGTAAACAGTCAGCGATGGCTGTTTACATACAAGCGCCCCGGCGTCTGTACAGTAGAGACACCCAATCGCTTGTATTATGTGTGTGGGTGTGTGCCGCCCCCCGCCACCACCGATCCCGAGCTCCGCTGTGCCCGGTTCGGGCCGGGACCTGCACGGCGGCTGTGTCACCGGAGATCAGATCGGTACATGAGCTCCCTCTGATCACCTCTCCGGTCTCTGAATGCAGGAAGTGATGTATATTAATTCTGCATTTAGCTGTCATTCCCGGCTACAGAAGCCGTGTCTCCAGTAAAGCAAGTAACTGATGAACATGTGGGATGTAAAGCATAAATAGTCGACGCTATATAAATACCTGTAATATATAAATAAAAAAATACAAAGCAGAACTACGTATGGTATTTGTGAGCTGTTTCACCTTTTGAAATATTTGTAATTCTGCTCAACCAATCCCAAGATTCACATTCTTTTACTGCACTGCTTAGCCAGACAACACAACTTCCTGTTGTAGCTTTGCAGCTTTTCTGTGTCATCTAACTGCTCAGACTGTAGAAAGGCACCAACAGATGGTCAAAGTCCAACCTGTGCTCTCGTCCTTCTGTAAGCTCACTAAACAACTCCTCTTCAGTGCCCAGGGCTTTAAATAGTTTGAGACTGAAAGCACTGCAAAGCAATAAAGCCCTGATCACCTTCCAGCTCAGAATGTCTGACATCAGGGGCCACATTCTAACAGATTATCGTATTCTGTCACCGGTAACAAATCAGCCGCAATAGGATGTATGAAGAGACCACTAACATGCTCCTATGGTGTCAGTCCCTTGCTGGCCGAAATGCAGAAGAACCTTGTTTACCTGCATGGGAACAGAGATGACACAACACATCCTTCTGGCAAGATCTTGGGGAATACAGAGCAGCCCAAATCTTGCAATGGACTGCAGTGTCTCCCGGCAAGATTTGGCCAGCTCTGCATTCCCCAGGAATCCGTCACTCCCATCGATGTGGACGGGGGGAATATAAGCATGGAATTTAACTTTTGTCTTTAGAGTTACAGTGGTACCTCGGTTCACGAACAATTCGGTTTCCGAACAGGAAGTTCGCCAAAAATTTGCTTTGGTTCACGAACTCGGGTGACGAACAACATCACAGCCATCTTCCCTGCTCTGACACGTGGTTGTGGCTTCCTCTAGTCGAAATTGCGGTCTGATCACAGTTTGATTCAGTTCACGACCAGAATTGTGGAACGAATTAAGTTTGTGAACCGAGGTACCCCTGTACTTTATGGACTTACTATCAGCATGCAATTTATGCCGTCGGAGGGTACTAGGACAGTATATATGGACCTTTACTTTCATGGCAAGGTCTGCTTTAGGTGGCTGATGAATCAGGGTCTTAGAGCCATAATAATAAAGGGGTGTATTAATACAAAACCACTCACCACATCGTAATGTCCATGCTGTGCCGCCTGGTGTAAAGGGATCTGTCCCTCATCAGACGGGATGTTCACAGCAGAACCCGACTTTAGCAGTAATTTCATTGGTTCCTTCTTGCCCTGCCAGGCTGCATAATGAAGCGGACGCATCCCTAGAGAGAACAACATACCAATCAGACAATATAAGGTCTCTCTGCTCATCACAATCTACAGGTGAAACTCGAATAATTAGAATATCGTGCAAAAGTAATTGCAGTAATTGCTGCAAAAGGGGCCCAAACCAAGTACTGAGTACATATGCATGCTTATACTTTTCAGAGGTCCGATATTGTTCTATGTACAATCCTTGTTTTATTGATTGCATGTAATAATCTACTTTTTTGAGGTTGTGGATTTGGGGTTCTTGGGGTTTTCATGAGCTGTAAGCCATAATCATCACAATTATGACAAATCACGGCTTGAACTATCTTGCTTTGCATGTAATGAGTCTATCTCATATATTAGTTTCACCTTTTAAGTTGCATTAGTGAAATAAATTTACTTTGCACGATATTCTAATTATTCGAGTTTCACCTGTATACCACACAACGTCCCTCAATCACTGTGTCCTAAACTGATGCTGAGAAACATGATCTGGACAGGTGTCCAAGCTCGAATGTGTAAATGCAGTCCATCGATATGATCATTCAATCGACCATTATATGCAACTAAACAAATCGAACTGACCATCCATTTGATCGATGTAGTTTGCTCTTGATTGATTTCAACTCTTCCAAGTCGTTCGGCCATAGCAGAATTTTGTCAATCACTTCTGATCAAATGAATGAATGTCTGCTGTGTTGGAGAGCTAACCAAGATACAGATCAATTATATTGCTGAACAACTACCTGATTGTACATACATTAAAATGATTGATTAGATAGGCCTTCATTTGACATCATTGTTGGAACAGCTCTTGTACTATCGGATCGTAATATTTCCATCAAAGTTTCAACATGTCGTACCATGTTAGGAATGCCAACTATATAATATAAATGAGCTGCTCATGAGAAAAAGGTAACCATCATGAAGTCATTTCACAGGAGGATGCCTAGCAAACAGTGGGCGTTGTTTTCTCCCATCTTGGGCATGTTTGCACATGGCAGTATCTGGGCAGAGCTTACAGTTGTCCCTGTTTTTAATTTGGCTTTTTTGAATGGTAGGCAGCACCCTGCCTTGTCTCACCTTTGTTATCTTTGATGTCCACGGCAGCCTGAGCATCCAGGAGCAAAGAGATGAGTTCATTGTTCCCGATAAGAGCGGCATGGTGCAGAGCTGAAAACCTGAAAGACACAATATTCTCAGAGTTATGGGACTGGTACAGGTCATGAGTGTGCTTTAGAGCCAGCTGTGTGGATTCAGATGGCACACACCAGCCAAGTCTATGTTTCACTAAATGCCTATAAAAATGGAAAATAGAGTGAATTATGCAGTTGTGAGACACACGTACTGCAACAAACAGTTATGTGCTGGCATTGCTCAATATTCTGTTAAGTGAACAAATGATATCACGACACTAAATGCACGGCTTAAATGTGCCCTAGAACCAGATATCATTTTTAATGTTGAAGCCCAACTCTGGGTTGCTGCTTTTAAATGTACCAGAGCAGTAAGTTCTCTTCCGCACTGCATGGGTTGAATGCTCATTTGGTTGGTTGGGGGAGTGTTAGGGGAAGGCATCATGTTTGTTACAGGTTCTCTTTTCTCTGTTACTGACATTCCACTACCCCCTGACAATGCCTTCACCTTTCTTTCTCTCCAGGACAGCACCGTCTTTGTGTAGACACTATCCAGGGTCAGTATTTACTTACTAGATTGAGATGCTGGTTCAGAGATTTGTTAACAAATAACAATGTTTCGGGGCCACATAGGGTCCCCTTCATCAGGCTTGGAATAAAGGAGACCCTGTGTGGCCCCAAAACGTTGTTATTTGTTTGGACATGAAGCATCAATAAACAGATGTGTTCTTCACTTCATAATAGTGTGCTGGTGACATCTTTAACAAGTTTCCATATTGGTGGCGCCATTTGCGGTCACTTCGAGCACCCACGCTGACAGGGATACCCGGTAAGGAGTGCAGCAGGATTCTGGAATACATGTGCTGGTTCAGAGATGACACAATATAAAATCCTTGTACCCTTGCAGTTCTATGTTCACAAATGTCTGGCACGGTAGATCTGTTGGCCATGAAACCTGTCTGATCTGAACCTGTGTGATCTGTGGATCACCTTGGCATTTACTTTGGATAACTTAACAGACAGCATTTTAGCTAGCAGTCTAATATCTTCTGAAAGTAAGGAAAATAGTCAGCAGGATTTGGGTAGGAAGGTATCCCTATCTCGTTTGGGAATGAGAACTGAATTGTGAATGAAGCCAGAATTGTGTGTAGCTCCTCACCTGTGGGGGATACAGCATATACAGCAATCCACACAGCAGAGTGAAAGCCCTCAAAAAGTAGCAATAACACTAGTGGAGAAATGGAATTCTTCTCCAACACCTCCCACCAGGTGGGTCTCACAAACTCTTCGGCCACATTCTCATCTTGGTGTGCTTTCCCTTGCCACAGGCAAGATCTCACTTGCAGAGGAATCTTTGATGACATGGTGATCAGTTTATGTGTATTGGTTAAGTTAAATGTGTATTGGTGTTGGGTTATGTTTGAGTGCGTTATGCTGTGTGACCTGGTTATGGAAAGAGTATCAGCACCATCCCTCGTTATCTCCCATTGTTCTCTGAGGGAGCTCAGGACAATGACATTCTGGCCAGGCCCCTGCTATGGCTGTCTGGAGCTATTTAGCAGGTGGACACCTGTGGTGTTGTGAAGACAGGATTTCTGGGGAGGGGAAGGGGGATGTGATGGGATTATATTCTGATCTGATCACTTTCTGTATAAAAGTTTGTGCAGTTTCTCAATAAACCAGAGTTTGTTTACCCTACACTCAAGCCTTGGCTAGTGACTGGGGAAACTGGGAGCTACAGATCAGCGGGTTCCAATGTCTCCTCAGCAAGGAAGAAGACAGCGGCGGACATACTCATCCTGAGTACGGGGGTCCGTCACAGAAGCCTCTAGGGCCACTCCAGATTGACTTGGTCAGAACATCTCTAGGAATAGGGCCTACTCATCTAGCACCTCTCCCATACAGAAGATCATCCATCCATCTTTCTCTCTGGGCATCCCCGAAGGGAACTTTCTAATTCTGGACTTAAATACATCCGAGTTTGCTTACTATATAAGACATCAGCTTTACATCATGATCGAAAATTGCTTTCTTTGAAGCTACTCACTCCACACGGAGGAAAATTACTTACTATTTGCCTAAACTCCACAGATGAGGAATGTTCAAAGGCCCTTTTAGAGGGAGCACAGACAAAAATGTCATACTTCCTCAGGATGAGCCCAACTACTTGGCGCCTACTCATCCATTGACTACCCAGGAGATCGAGGACAAAACCTCCAGGTCTCCAGGGTACTATGCCACTCTCTTGACCAGCAAAATCCACCAATCACAGAAATGGCAGAGAACTGAGAGATTAACAACACCCCCTTACAATTATATCTTTCTATGAAGACAAGGCCTCAGCTATATTCACATTCTATTTGCAGTGCCAAGAATCTTGTAGTTCACCGTCTGAATATGGACTGTACACAATATAAACACAGCATACAATTAAAAATCTCCACAAGGCAATGGCATGGTTCCTCTGAGCAATACAGGCCGGGCCTGAGGGGTTACAGCCCAGTGGCCAGACATATGATTTGCAGAAATAATTAGGTTACTAATCAGTCTGCGGTTCTCGGGCCTCTGTTGTTCAGATGCTGACTACAGCAACAGGGATGATGTTAGTAAATTCTCAGCCATGGCTGAGTAACGCTGTCCAGCTTATTCAAGCAGAAAATAAGAGAATCCCCCTTTCCCTCACCCTCCCTGATGCTGCACTGTCAGTACTGAGGATGCAGAGCTGTGTCAGGGAGATACGCACTCTCCGCACTGCCAGGAGCTTTGTATGCGAGGCAGCCAGGGGGCACTGCCAACACAAACAAATGCTGGAATCGATGTCTGGCTACAGGAAACTAAGCAAAAACCACTTCTACAAAAAATCCACGAAGGGTGATTGGCATCTAAGCGGAGCACAGAATATAATGCTAACATCATTTCAGAACAACAACGACCCTTTCTGGGGAAACAAAAACTCTATTCGGACGTCTACAACTAAACAGTACATGCCAAATTTTCAAAAATTTTTGCAAACACGGAATACAATGCACAGATTCCTTCAGATCTGATGGCTTCACCTGCCATGCACTGCAGTGAAATATATTTACGGTCCAACTGCATCTGAACCTATTAAAAATCTGAATACTCTGTTTTATATTTTGATCATTGAGTAAGTTTTCAAAACACTATCAGGGTCATTCGCAAAAGGGTGAAGAGTTTGGAGAAGGCCGGAGAAGTGAACCATCTAGGATAATATTGCTGATCTGGAAAAATTCTCCAATTCAGCTCACTTTCCAAATCAGCTATGATGTCCTAGATTGTTCCCTTCCCCTGCCTTCTCCAAACTCTTCACCCTTCTGTGAATAGCTCTGTAAGATTTGCCTCCTTTCTTAGCTTTACTCACTTTGCGGAAGGATGACTGTTCAACCTCAAAGGTCAGAGGACACCAGAAGACCAACATTCTGTGCCTTTGTCTAACCTCAAGTAGCTGCCTCCTAGATCCCGATTGTGCATGAGAGTATCAAATTAACAGGGTGGTTGTTTGTATTCCTCAACTCCACTTGTCTCTGAGGATTTGTATTCCTGTTCAGCCAGTTCAAAGATTTACACAATCGGGCGGTGCAGCCAGGTTGGTGACTGGATTTTTTTCTGCTGCAGTTGGAGCAATACTGGTAGGTCATCTGCCTTTGGCCTATGACTGGACCATAAGACTGATCAGCACATCCCCCGCTCTCTCCTCCTTTAGACAAGTCCCTCCTCACTTTTAGTCCTAATGTCTATTGGAACAGAAAGTGGAATCCCAGAGGAACAAACATAAAGGAACATTATTTTAATAGGGACACTTGTTCTGGTGACAACTGTCTAAGAGATGATGTTCCCTTGCTTTGAAGAGATCTCCTCTTACTTCCTGCTGTGTATCTAGAACAAGAAGTGAAGGGGAATCTCCCATAGAAAGCAGAAAGAAAACTCACTGGGGTCTTGACCCTTCCCTTCTCTATCCAAAACTAAAAAGGTTTTGGATTACATAAATTTGAGGATCAATTCCAACCTACGGCTCATGTAATCATTCATATGTTTTATCATATACAGCAGCTCTTCACATATACGGACTTCTAGTATGAACAAACTGTACAGAGCTACAGGATCAATTCATCAAGGTAAAAGGCATGCTATTTTTGCCGTCATGATCGATATTTTCAGCCATTTGGCTTATTTATACCTCTCTTTGGCTCTTATTATGGCAAAGAGCAATCATTACATTTATTGACTTGAGCCTCCTAACATCTAAAGGTTGTACTTACTAGTGATGGACACTTTGAGGGACTGCGCTTTTGGAGCTAGTAGTAGTTTGTCTCATTCAGCTAGACTTGTTCTGCATCGTTAAAGATGTTTCATAGCTTATCCAAACCACTTCTCGAGTTTTCATGAATGTCAGGAAAATACCCCAGCATTCATATCCACAAAGGTAGCACAGACACCTTAATTCAATCACCATGGAAGACTTCTCCAAGAACAAGTGTGAAAGTTGTGGAACCGTCCTGTTCTAGTTACATAGCCCCATCTGTCGTGTCCCTAAGTCTCCATAGGTATTAAACCTTTATTTCACATGCCTGATGGTGGAAGTGGTTCTCAAAATGCCATTAAAACGGCATTGATGTGGAAGAGTATGGTTTAAGTATGGTTGTTCCAGTTTGACATACATGACCGCTTTCATACCTCTTACTAACTAGTTGTCCTCTCTTTCCAAAATGTGCACCTTGCCATCCTTGAAAGAATGTCCCCTTGCCTTTAGGTGTAGGGAAACTGCTGATTCTTGACCCTTAGAATCTCCCCTCCTGTGTTGGGACATATGTTTGTTGAGAGGATGGTTTGTCTCCCCAACGTACAGGTCTTTGCATACCTCACTACATTGCACTACATATTCTAAGTTACTTAGAGTGTTGGGTCTTTTGGGTCTACAAGCTTCTGTATCAGTGTATTGCTGGGCTTGAAAGACACAGAGATGCAATATTTGTTCAAGATCCTTCTGGGTTTTTCCAACACTCCAGCTACATAGGGGATTACTA